GGTCGCTGTGACAACATCGTCATCAGTTTATGAGTTATATGTAGAGGTGCTCCAAAATGGAAATTTCAAAGCCGAAACCGAAATAAAAAAAATTGTCAGTCCGAAACCGAAAATGTTTTTTATTTAAATTGTTTCAAATTTTTAATATATATATATATATATTTTTTAAAACTTTTAAATTTTTTATATTTATTTGTATTCATTAATCCATTTTTTATAAAATATTTTTATGTTTTACTTTACTTTACTTTTAGGGGCTAAACAGACCCCTGCTATTTCCTTTTAAAATAGAAAAAGAGATTGAGGACACAAAGTCCCCAATCTCTTTTTCTGTATCCCCTGTTATCAATGAACAGGAATCCTCTATACTGAGTGTTTCGGTTCATTCATAACTTGATAACATTGTGTGTTTACTATAACTACAACTATAAATGAACAAGAGGTGATGTATATCACTTCGCATTCATTCATAATTGAGGATATACTACACATACCATGTCCTCAATTATCTACAAACACTCAGCGATCACTGATCGCTGAGTTTTTGTACTCGCTCTCCTCTCTGACACACGCTGTCACAGGAGGCTGAGTGAGCAGTGCAGGGAGGAGAGCTCAGCCTCCTGTGACAGCGCGGGCTGTCTCCGCCCACACACCGCTCTGCCGCTCTGTGATAGGAGGCTGTGCGGTGTGGGAGGAGAGACACCGGCCGCTCATAGCACTCTCCTCCTGCAGCGCTCAGCTGGCTGTCACAGTTTCTCTCCTCCCCACTGGGACACAGAGCAGCGCCCAGCGGGGAGGAAAGAAAGTAGGGATGCACCGATGTATCGGCAGGAAATTGGCACTTTCAGCATTTAGCCAAAAGTGCCATTTTCGGGTCGATATGTTTCGGCGGCCGATATATCGGTGCATCCCTAGTTATATGTGTATTGGTGTTGGGTTATTTTTAAGTATGTTATACCGGGTAACCTGTTCATCAAAAGACTGTCAGCACCACCCCTCGTTAGCTCCCTTTGTACTCTGAAGGAACTCAGGACAATGACATTCTCCTGTGTCTGGCCAGACTCCTGCTATGGCTGTCTGGAGCTCTTTAACAGCTGGACCCCTGCTGGGTTGTGCAGTCAGAATTTATAGGGAGGGCAGGGCGGATTTGATGGGATTATAATCCGATCTGATCACTTTCTGTATAAAAGGTTGCACAGTTTCTCAATAAATCAGAGTTTGTTTCACACTACACTCGGCCTCGACTAGTGACTGGGGAAACTTTGAGCTAAAGATCAGCGGGTTGCAATATCTCCTGAGCAAGGAAAAATACAGCGGCGGACATACTCATCCTGAGTACTGGAGTCCATCACAGCAGCCCCCCCACC